GGGGTGGTGAGGCTTAGTTGGCCTCGTCTGACCTTCCAGGCCACGGCAGCAGGAGGGCCAGGGCACCTCAGGTCTCCCCAGCACTGCCTCAGGCGGAGCGGACAGGCAGCGAACCGGCAGGAGGGCCTGCTGGGCAAGGCTTCTGCGCCCCGAAGGCTGGGACTTCAGTGTTACTTTTATGTGGACTTTAAAGCTCTTTCGTAACAGGCAGTTATGGCTTCTGCAGATCTGTGTCACGGTCTCCAGGGGGAGTCCTTGGCATGTCCCTGTGTTGCCCCCATCGAACGATGCTCTCCAGCCTCGCTGCGAAATAGGTCTTGTCCATAAGCGAACCGAAACGAATGCTGAAAGGCAGCGAGGTTTTTTTAAGACCAAAACCATAGTTTTTATCAATAAATGCATCTTTATTGGAGGTTTTTTACTTACATTTTAGTATTGGATTACTTAACATGTAGAGGTACAACTGTAAAAGTACTGTTAAATCATCTTGAAACCGCATACTTGTGGTTAGAGGAATGAGACTTTTGTTCCAGTTTTTTGTCCAACTTTAAACAGTGCGCTTCATGAACTTCAGAAGTGCTAAATAGCTTCCACGTTACAAGGGGAAAACAGTAAGTTTTCCTTTTATTTTTAACAAAATCTTGCTACTACCCCACAGTAAATCATCAAACATTCTATGTTGTGTAATTACAAAAATGCTGTATTTCGCTACATTGCTTCTCTAGCTTTCTCCATCTCTTTACCTGCCTGGAAAAAGCTAGTACCTCTGTGTCCACTGGAGTAACGTGTCATGCGCTCACACAATATTCTGGATTTTGTTAGCTTGAATATTTTAAAAGAATAATTGACTCACAACATTTTCCCCTTTTCAAGTCATATAGCATTCATTCTGTTAGTGCCTGTGTCCCACCAAAGTACTTAAAAAAACCCCCCAAAACCAGAAAAAAGCGCCATTTACTGGGGCAGTTTAGGTAGTGAAAAGCTGTCTACTTACAGACACACGTTTTTGCTGTTGCCTGTGTTATGTCTTATGAAAGAGTTGCCAAACAGATCAAATACAACAAAAAAGTAAAACCTAAAAGGCAAAATTGTGTTTGCTTCCAGAAATGGTTTGATTTCTAGAAGAAACCTCTTAACATTTTGGTTGGATACGTATTGTCATTTATTCCTGCATAGTCCATAGCCAGATACAATTTTTCATCTAAGGAACAGCTGTGTTAACAATTCCAAAAGTATTATGGTAGTTAACCATATCATACCTGACAGTAGAGGAGATGGTGCTTCATGTTTTAAGTGAAACACACCACTTTCCATGTTGTCAGTTTTGGGACTGAAGAATGGCTGTGCATTGATAAGTTGCCTTCTTCAGATCCTTTGCTTGCTTGGTCTTGCCCCTCTCTGTTTCAATAGCCAGCTATGATTTTGTTTTGCTTTCTTAGTTGCTTTCTTCATAACTAGTCAGGCGGGCAGGTGGGTCAGCCCTTAATAGTGAAGGAGACGTCATCCAGCTTTCAAGGTGTCTCTTTTTTAAAAAAAATTAAAAAAACCCAAACCAAAACAAAACCCCAAAATGGTTGTGTGCTGACTCATTTGATAAAGGAAGTGGTTATCTTTTTTTATTCCTGTGCTTCAGGCACTGCTGCAGCTTACTTTTAGCTGTATCTGTTTTGAAAGTTAGATGTATGTGCGACGACCTTTTTCCAGAAATTGTTATCCACTCTTTCTTTAAATATACAGTGAAATCTGGTTTTGACCTTTCTCATCAGTGTCTGAGATGGAAGAGGTGTGTTTCTGTTAATACCAAGGTGGTAAAATAGAAGCTGCTACAACTGTTAAAAAAAGGGGGTGATGTCCACTTCTCTGAGGAAAAGAGGACCTGGAAGATTTTTAGTGGGTTTATTTATTTACTTGTTTCCTTCCCAACCTGGTTTTGCCATGAAATGTGTGAGGGAGTAGAAGACATCTCCAGTGGCTTTCAAGCGTTTTTCTTGTCTAATACCCTACATACCCCCTGTTGGGAGCTGGTTTGCAAGGAACGGGGGTGGCAGGACTTCTGGGCAAACACCTGAGAGACTGCAGAGCCTGGAGGAGCTGCTGGGCTGAGCCAGGGTGGGGTGCTGCCTCCTCACTGCAGTGGGCAAGCCCTCACCTCCCCCTGGGCTCTGCCTCGCTCCTGGCTGGAGTGGCCTCTGAACAGCCCCATGTCCACCCCTTCCTCAAGCTGTATTCCCTCCAGCACTAAAACCCTGAGCTGCATTTTGTAGTTTGTGGAGCTACTGTGCTAGTCTTCTCCCCACATCTTGCAAAGTGCTTTGGTCTGAAGACTGGTGAAAGACTAGGTGTCTGATTATTTGAGAAAACAGTGACCTCAGTTTGCCTTATATTTTGTTTTTGCTTAGAACCTGTTTAGATGAAATCCCTGCCAGATATTTGAAAGAGAATGGCCTGGCTTGGGGTTTGCTACCTCTCACCATTCTTTTCAGCGCTGGGAAATCTTAAAATTCAAATTCTTAGAGCTTCACACAAAGATGAAGTTGCATCAAGTATTTTTCTGAAAATTTTCCATGTTTAAGAAGAAACACTCTTTCTGGGTGACACCTAACATAAATTATGTTGAAGCAAAAAACCCGTTTCACTCCATAAAGTTACTTTAGGGAATAGTTACAGTATGGTAAATGATCTCGGGTGAGGGGATTCGTGTGGGATTTGTGATCTTTCGGTGCCTAGCACTACCTGTTTTTAAGGCTACTGTTACTAGTAAGGGAAGGCGTAAGGTGTTGGCTGTTTAGAGGCAGGCTCTGTTCCTAAATTGGTGGAAGCACAACAGGAAAAGAGCTGCAGTGTGTAAACAGTTGCAGTTGATGGAAGAGGGAAGGTTCTTACAATTTTGTCCTGCAGAGCCAAGAATATGGCATTGCCACAACTGTTCTCCTGTGATTTGGGGCTTATATATAAATATATCTGTGTATATGTGCATGTATGTATATATGGTGTGAATGTAAAGTAGATTGCTACAGTAGATTCTGCTGCTTCTTTCCTTCCAAACCACATACTCTTTCTGTCCTTCTGAGATCTGTGTGCGTAAATGCGTATGCTGCTAGAAAACAGACTGGTTGTAACTATACACTTTGGAATTATTTTTGTCCTGTGGTATTCCATCAACACTTACTAACTGTCCTGATATATGTAACTGTGAAACTGGGCTAGCCTGGCATCTCTGAATACCTGAAAAATTTGAACATACTAGAACAACTGTCTTGGATATACATAATCTTTAGAAGTGTGTGTGTGTGTATATATACACACATAATGCTTTAGAAGTTCTGTGACATCTTTTATTTCTGAAATAAACAATACTTAAACACAAGTGTGTTGTTCCTCTCTATATTTAGTATTATCCAAACTAGGAAAATGTTTTTAGCTTTAATTAAAAATATAGAACTGTCTAGAGAAAGCAGCTTTGCACAGCAATGATTGATATACTTTTATCATTATTAGCAGCTTCAAGAACTTTTAAGTTGTGCAGGTTGTACAAATTTTCTTGAACTATAGCACCTAAGTGGGGTGATAATGAACTCATACTAATTCTTGGAAAAAGTAGCTGAGAGAGAAATTTTGTTGGGTTCAAGTGAACTGTATATGTTCACAGAATCACAGAATATCTCTGGAAGGGACGGACCCATCAGGATCACTGAGTCCAACTCCCTGCTCCTCGCAGGACCACCTAAAACTAAACCATATGACTAAGAGCCTCATCCAGACGCTCCTCCAACTCTGACAGGCTTGGTGCCGCGACCACTTCCCTGGGGAGCCTGTTCCAGTGACCGACCACCCTCTCAGTGAAGAACCTTTTCCTAATGTCCAACCTGAACTTCCCCTGACGCAGCTTCATTCCATTTCCTCGTGTCCTGTCTCTGGTCACCAGAGAGAGGAGATCAGCACCTCCCCCTCCGCTGCCCCCCATGAGGAAGGTGGGGACTGCCATGAGGGCACCCCTCAGCCTTCCGATTGTGTGCTGTTTTGATCTCTAGAAAGAAAGCTGGAAGAAAGAGGCTTTCCTTTCAGCAAATTAGTCCTCTGACCAGAGGTTACTAAGCCTGGTGATGATTACTGGATTACTTACTGGTTGCTTTGGTTATGAACTGACTCTCAATGTTTAAAAATTTTTTTTAAAGAAAAAAGGGGAAAAAAAGGAAAAAAAGAAAGGAAAAAAAGGATATGTGTGGAGGGGGAAGTAGTTAGTTATGGAAAAATTGAATGGAAAGACAGAGGTAGAAAAACTGTATTAGACCTGATCAAACAAGACTCAAAAGATGTCAGACATTGTCCCTTACCTGGCAGATTCCTAACAGTTTTAGAGTCTGTGGTCAAAATTTGTCTTCAAAGTGAACAGGGAAGACATAATGGATATTAATACAGATGTACATGGCTAATTTGAGTTTATAGCAGCATGCTTCAAGTCCTGTAGAACCTGGGAGAAATTATCATACTGTATTTGGTACAGCATCTTAGAATGACACTAAATTACTATGATTTCAAGAATAAATTTATGCCCTTATTTTGCAAGCATGAATAATATGTGATCCTCATAAATTTTTATAGGTAGTTTAAGTGTTAGACAGCTGTCTCTGAATTTAATACAGTAATTATAACTGAGACAGATGAGTTGACTTAGGAGAGATGAGATAGGCTTATTCAGCTGCACAAGAGATTTCACAAATGTATTTGATCTCTGGTAAATTACTTAAATTAGGGATATATTTGTAAAATGTTAAGTAGTTACGGTATATTTTTGTTAGCAAAGAAATAAGAAGTGACTTATCTTCTTCGGTGTTTTTGGTTTTTGTTTAAGAAAATTACAAACTTTGATAGTGTACAAAAGCATAACTACCTAAATCAGGGACAAATTCCATTTTATTGGGTGTTAGTGTGAATTCAGGATTTGATCAGAATCTGTGTGTGTGTGTGGTAGGCATTATGCTGATTTAGCTGTCTTAGAAATGAGGCTTTGCTGTTATGGTGTACCTCTAGTAATTAAGGAGCACTTTATAAAAATTAATCCAAGGTACTTGATCTTTTTACTTGTTTATATATATTAATGACATTTAGTCATACTTGTCTCCTGTGGATTTGAGTAATAGAAGTTTGCTCAAAGTAAGTTTGAAGTTTGCTCCAGGTCCATCTTGTTTCATTTTGCATCAGCTGATGAGCTTTAGTGAGCAAAGAGGTGAACTGAAGGGATGCGCCAGCTTCACAGTCTGTTTTGTGCCTCACCTGGTCAGAACTGCCTCAGTAACAACTGCATTGCTGCACTCAGGCTTAGATGTTGGGCTTGCACCATAAACTGTGTTAGTTGAGGTTTATAAGAAATGTTGTTTATA